AAGATCTTCTTCTTCACGACAATGCACGTCCACATGTGGCACGTTTGACACAATACAAGATTACGGAGTTGGGTTAGGAAGTTCTCCCCCACCCACCATATTTTCCAGACATGGAACCATCAGATTATCATCTTTTTCGTTCGCTGCAACACCATCTTAATGGGAAAATGTATGCAAATGTGTAAAGTGTTATAGAGAACATCGACATGTTTTTTGCTTCAAAGTCAAATGATTTCTTTAATCAGGACATTAACAATCTGATTATAAGATGGAAAAGCACCATCGATAAGAATGAGAGACTATTTCATTTAATAAATGTTTTGTTTTGATATACAAGTTGTTCGGGTTTTTTCATCTAAAAAAGCGACATTAATTTCTTGACGACTTAATATTTATTGATGCATTCCTGTTGGCTTTCTTTTGTGTTTGTTTTGAATTTCGCGCAAAGCTACATGAGGGCTATCTGCGCTAGCCGTCCCTAATTTAGTAGTGTAAGACTAGAGGGAAGGCAGCTAGTTATCATCACCCACCACCAACTCTTTGGCTACTCTTTTACCAACGAATAGTGGGAATGACCGTCACATTATAACGCCCCCACGGCTGAAAGGGCGAGCATGTTTGGTGGGACGGGGATTCGAACCCGCGACCGTCAGATTGCGAGTCTAGCGCCCTAACCACCTGGCCATGCCGGGCCCTTTCTTTTGTGAAGCTAAATAAAGTAGCAGTGCTTTCCATCTAATGATATTGTTACGACAGCAAATGTCACGCGACGCTGGAAGCATACACGCTGGAGTTTTTAGAAGGAATACGAAGGCTCGAGTGCATTCGAGACGCCCTCTTTTTAATATATAAGCCTGGCGAGAAAAACCAGTGCAATCGGCAGATAGATTGACGAGATAGACAATTGAGTCAAGCGAACAGTAGGCCCCCGTAATAAAGGTTTTGAATCACTGTGATTTATTGCGTTTGTTATAAAGGTTGTTAAGTTTAAAGTGACTGTGGAAAT